AAAAATAAAGCTATAGGGTTTACTTAGTGAAGGGAAGTTTGAAAAGAAAGGATATTACCCGTTATGGTGGCACACACCTGGCCACTCAGGAAGCTGAGGCAGGAGAATCCCAAGATCAAGGCCACCTTGGGCAAATTAGTAAGATTCTGTCTCAAAAGAAAACATTTAAAGGACAAGGGATATCGCTTAGTGGTAAAGCACCCATGGGTTCCATCCTCAGTACAGCAAGGGGTAAAGGGTGGCAGTAGAGAGGGAATATTAATATTTTTAAATATGTATTTGTTTAAACTTTCAATATAGGAGCTACTAAAGACTTCCCTTGGAGGTTTTCTGGTTTAAATGTTGCTTTGCAGAGAGTCTTTTCCCTGTACCCCTTCAGTCTGGAACAGCTGTGTGCCGAAGACCCTGCCAAGTGCTGTGACACCAATGGTTGCCATAACTACCCTGTGTTTTCAGGTTCGGCCACAGCAGTGCTAAAGCTCACAGGCCGAAAGCCTGATGGGTGGAGTTTGTGCAAATCCCCTCGCCCCAGCCAGCCTCGGGCTGACATTGGGAAGTCCTTGGCCCTGAGCTGGAATGAGATGGCCGTGATCTGCTCTCCCAAACAGTGGGGCCTGGCTCGGCACACAGCTGGAAGAAGAGACCATCTCACACATCCAACTGGCAAATCAAACAGCCTGGCAATACCAGATGTTTGGTACAAGCCTGCATTAGAATGGGGTGGAAATGTAAATTGGGACAATCATTTTGGACAGCAATATGGCCTTACCTGGTGTTGTCCATGCTGGTCAACCCAAAACCATTGGCAGCTGCCCACCGGGAGATGTGTCACCAGAGCTTGCTGCAAAACTATTGGTAAAAGAAAAAATAAGAGAACCTAATAGTTCATCCATAGGAAAATTTATAAACAAGTTACATAACAGCCATTTAACAGACTGCCATCCAGAATTTAAAATTAATAAGCTATTATATGTATCAAGATGACCAGATCTTGAAAAACAAAATGTTGAAAACAATGTTGATTCAAAAAAAAAAAAATAGCTTTAGGATAGTATGCCATGCATCCCATAAAAGTTCCCTAAAAATTCTAAATGCATAAAACGATACTCTGCAATATCACAGAGATATATGTTCACTGAAATGCAAGACGAAATCATTTTAAATAGAGCAGACAAATGCATACCGAATTTATGATAATGCCGCATCTAGGGAGGAAAAACTGAGATTGAGAGTGGGGAGAGATACAGAGGGTCCTCCATCTTTCTTATAATATTCTAGCTCCTTTAAATATTCAAAAATATTTGTCTGAAATATTAATGATTGAAATGAGAATCTGAGGAATAAGGTATGAGTACTGCTTACCTCCTGCTTTGTGCTTTTCTGTGTTTGAGGAACTCCGTCCTAATACTGAAGCATCGTCCCTTATGATGAGAGGTTTTTTTATCTTATTTCTGCTCCAAAGCGAAGCCCATGAGTGGATATGGGGGAGAGAAGGACTGCCTGTATCTGACCTGTGGCCCTTGCTACTCAAGTGACATGGCCTTAGGCGGCAGGTCAGTGCCTGGCTTCAAAGCCTGTCCTGACCTCCCCTTGACACCCCTGCTGGGACTGCATGAGCACACCTGCAGTGACATTTGTCACAGCGTATGTGCAATCACTGTTTCTGTCTCTCCCGTGAAACTATGTGGTCCTCTAGGGTTCAATCCTCAACCCATTCGTCTCTTTCTTCCTGGGGCCTGAGAGAGCCACTGCAGACAGCTCGGAATGAATGCGTGAATGAAGGGATCGTCTTCACTTGGCATAAGTGCCTTCTAAACTTGGCAAACAGGAGAGGCCACAGGTCACATCATGCGTAAACAGACCAGTTAATTAATCCTTAGTACTGATTCTCGGGTGCAGCACAAAGGGTCAGGGGGCACCATGACGTAACCCACTCACGAGTCACTGGCACGGGGAGGATCCAGCCCTGGGCAAAGCTGTGGGACCATGAGGGGCGGGAGGGACAAGCAAGCTGGCTCGTCTAAGTCAGCTTTCAAAGCCCGGCAGTCCCTCTCATTAGGGCTAAACGTGACCTTGCCATTCTGGGGAGCCAGGAGGTACCTAAGCTTTGGCTGAACTCTTGCAGGTCTCACGGCAGGTGGGGGGGCAGAAGGACAGGGCCGGGACTTCCTCCCAGCACTGGCAAGGTGGCCCCTGACCTTGATGTCCCTGGCTACAGGCCTGCCGAGTTCAGCATGTGTGTCAAGCCGCAAAGAAGCAGCAAGATGATAGTGAGGGTGAGGGCACTGCATTCTTTTCATTCCCACTTTGAGGATGTGGAGGCGGAAGCTGGAGTGGGGAAGAGACCTGCCCAAGTCAAGGTGCTTGAATCCAAGGCCGGAGCCAGAGGCGCGACGCCAAGCTTGCTCAGATTCCAAGGGCCTCCTGGAATAACTCAACGGGATGCACCAGCTTCACAGAGGACCAACACTTCCCTCTGTGCCTCCCAGGACGCTCCCACAGTAGTTACAAAAGGCTCACAGCAGGGTGTGACTCAGAAATGACACCCGCGTCCACTGCTCATTACCCCACTGCCCGTCCACAGCCAGGAGGGGCGCAGGCTGGCAAACAGCTATCAAGTGTCTCGATCAGAGCCATCTGGGTTTCCAAGAAGGCAGAAAGTGAGAGCTGATGAAACCACCCAGTGAAAGAGATCTCAGGAAGGGCAGGCAAGTCCAGAAACCACAAGGAATCTCCCCAGCACACCGAAAGAAGGGGCAGGATCTTTTCCTGCTGTCACAGTTGCCTCCAAATATGGCTGCCTTGGAGGTCCCACAAGAATACCTAAAAGCTGAAATGGAAATCATTGTCAGCATTAAAGAACAACAAATTCTGGGAGGCTGGGGCATGAGGATAAGAAGTTGGAGCCCAGCCCAAACAATTTAGCAATTTATCAAGATCCTGTCTCTAAAAACTAAAGAATTCTTAACAAGCTGAGGTGTAGCTCAGCAGTAGAGCAACCCCGGGTTCAATTCCAGCATCACAAAAACAAAACAAAACAAACAAACCTTGTTAATGAGTTTCCAGCACAAAACAGACTCAGCATCACAGCAGACCTTTGGTCCTTGGTTTTACTTTCTGAGGTTTCTGCTACCTGCAGTCCTAACATACTCAACAAAAAATTCTAGAAAGAGAGCTTTCACCTGAAACTCAAGAGTAGTTAGCAGCACAAAACACAAATACAGATAATCACATCAGCAGATTAAAGGAAAAACGTTCTGCCATCTCAAGAGTCAAGGGGCAGCACTGGGTAATACGCAGCCCTCACTTGGCAAAAGTTCTTTGAAGCTTACACTGAGTAACAGCAGGGAAGGGCCCCCATCTCACCCGGGCGTCGGATTCTCTGACAGGGTGGCTGGCTCCAAGACCACAGCGAGTAGCTGAAGCCACGGAAACTGACTCTCATCCGGAAGCCAGACTAAGGCCAAGGCATGACAGGCTGTCCCTCCCAGGGCCACCCTCTCTGGCTGGAAGATGCCACTGTCCCTGAGTGCTCACAGGCTTGTGTCTCTCTGTGTGTCTGTGTTTTTATCTCTTCGCATGGGGACCTCGGTCGGATTGGGTTGGGGCCACCACGGGGACCTCATTTCATCTCTTTAGAAGCCACGGCTCCCAACACGGGTGCCACCGCGAGAGGCACTGGGGTCAGGACATGAACACTGTGGGTGCACATTCAGCCCATAGAAAGGGCAGGCCAAAACCCTATGGGAAACACCACTGCTGTGACTAAGACAGTGAGGAAACATGTACTGAGATCTTGGCTTCTTTTTTCTTTCTTTCTTTTTATAGCAGTTATCAGGGATTTTTAAAATTTAAATGTGTTTTAACTAACACATAAAAACATACAATTTACCCATACTAATGCTAATGGTGTACTAGGTGGTGTTTCGATACAGGGAGACATTGTCTAATGTTCAAGTCAAACAAATCTCCTCTTTTTGTTTTGTGTCATTTTGTTGTGTTTTTGCAGTACTAGGAGTTGAACGCAAGGCCTTCACCCTGAGCCTCATTCCCAGCCCTTTTGTTATTTTTTATTTTCAGATAGGAGCTCACTAAATCATCAGTTGCCCACACTGGGCCTGAATGTGCCATCCTCTTGCCTCAGCCTTCCGGAGTGCATTGTATTATCCTGTGTGGCAAAAACGTTCAGAATCCTTGCCTCTAGGTCTTTGAAATGTACACACTGTGATCAACAGTCACACTTGTACCATGGCACACCAGGACTTCTTGCTGCTATCTCACCTTAATTAGTGTCCACTGATCAACATTTCCCTGTCCTTCCTGCCACCCCAGCCCAGCCCCTGTAACCACCATCTGCTCTCAAGTTCTGTGAAGTCAGCCTGCTTAGATTCCACATCTCCACATCTAGATAGGAGTGAGGTCAAGCAGTACTTATCATTCTGTGCCTCGTTTATTATTTCACTATACATAGTGCCCACCCCTTCTGTCCAGGTTGTCCCAACTGAGAGGATTTCTTTCTTTTCATGGCTGCCTACTATTCCACTATATCTTCACCTCATTTTGATTACCCATTCATTAACCAAAGGGCACTTTGCTTATTTCTATTTCTTATTCACTGTGAATAGTGCCACAGACACAGTCCTTAACAGTATAAAGCAAAATCCTCTTACTGGGGAGGCAAGTATTGCATGTTTTGCCACGTGTGCTGGTACCACCTCTCCAAAATAATAACACTTATTTTTTTTTTTTTCTTTTTGAGACAGGGTCTCACTATGCAGTTCAGGCTGGCCTCGAGCTCACTTTGTAGCCCAGGCTGACCTCAAGCTCGCAACGATCCTCCTGCCTCAGCCTCCCAAGTGCTGGGATTACAGGCATGCGCCACCACGCCCAGCGATAGTAGCACTTTTTACATAAAGGAAATCTCATCCATCCACTTGCTTTTTTGCTACAAACAGAAAGAAACATCAGTCATTTGTTTTTGGTCAGGAATCCAGTTTGTAGATTCCAGGGTGAACAGGAACAAAGTTCAAAAATCCCGGGAAAGATTAAATATTTTCTACCTTGTGAAGAAATTCGAATGACTGGATTTCATGAACAGCAGGGACAGGGAAGGGCCAGGGCTTGCAAGCTCCTCTGGCTCCTCCTCAACCATCCAGTTCAGCAGCCGCGTTCTTGAGTCTCATGTGGGATGTGGACCTTGAACTTGGGACTCTCAGAGCACTGCATAACTCCTGTCTAGCCCCAAAGCATCGCCCTCCCTGTGAACAGGGGTTCCTGAGTTTTCCACCTGCCAGAGCCCATCTAGCTCACGGCACAAATACTTCGGTGTTTAGAGGCAAAGAACCCTGGCCTGCAATGTACCCCAAAGCCCAGCAAAACATGAAAGCGGGGGCTGGGAATTTAGCTCAGCGGCAAAAGCGCCTGCCTGGCAAGCGCAAGGTCGTGAGTTCGGTTCCCGGTACCGGAGAAAAACCAAAAAAAAAAAAAAAAAAAAAAAAAAAAAAAACATGAAAGGGGCGGGAGCCCGAGAAAGGGACGGGCAGACAGGGCTGACAAACTGAGCCAAGGCTTGTTGTCAAATCTCGACTTACTGCATGCTTTTTTCTCTTTCTGTTCAATTTTCTGTACTTGAAAACCATCATTATATAATTATGGGAAGACATCATTAGTAGCATTTTTAAGAGTTTAAATATCTTTTAAAACTCTCCTCTCTTCTCACTCACCATGACCCCTGCCCTAAGCCAACCCTCTTCTCTGGGTCAGACAACCACTGCAGCTTCCTGCAGAGGAGGAGGAACTTAACGTGGTGGGTTCGTCGCTTGCCTGTACTCTGGGGCCACCGGGCTAAGACAGAGCAAAAGGGAGGCCGGGTGCGGCTCAGTGGTACAGTGCTTGCCTAGCACTGTGAGGACCTGAGTTCAATCCCCAGTACTGCAATCAACCCATCGGAGTAAAGGGATTTCTGAGAAGGCACCGATTCACAGAGACAGAGACCGCAGACATGCAACGACCTCAAGCCAGAGGTCCTCATCCTCCGTGAGGCAGCGGAGGCACAAAGAGCTTAAATCACCCAAGCAAAGTCACTCACACAGAGCCAGGCTCCAAACCCACAGGTCTGGCCCCAGGGTCTCTGTGCCTCCTGTTTGCGTCCGCCCCAGGGTCTGCTGCCTGGCAAAGCAGAGAAGGTGGAAATAGTTGTTTTGAACAGGAAATTAGAGCCCACACTGCCAGGCAGAGCTGTACCGCCCACCCAGGAAGATGCAGGGACCCAGGGCACCAGGCGTCTCTGAAACTGGGAGGTGTGAGAGAGCAAGAGAGAGGGATGTTTCGAGTCTGTACAATGCAGAGTTCGACATCCCTCTGTTCTGAGTTGAGCAGTGTCCCTGCAGGGTCTCACATCCCCTGCAACCTCAGAATGCAACCCTGTTTGAAAACAGGGTCCTTGTAGGTATAATTAGCTAAACGGAGGTCGCCCTCGGGTCCATTGACCTCAACTTATTCAGGCCCGCACACAATGACTGGTGGGCTTATTGGATAAGACACAGAGCCCCAAGCAGAGGACAGATGGCATCAAGAGGATAGCAACACAACCTGACGCCAAGAACGGCCGGCAGCCACCAGAAGCCAAGAGAGATGCAGCACGGAACCTCCTGAGGGCTTCCTGCAGAAGCCATCCCCACAGCCACCTCGACCAGAGTGCCGACCTCCACAGCTATGAGGGGAGGCGTCTCTGCTGTTTTAAGTCATTGGGTTTGTGGCACTTTTTTATGACAGCCCCAGGACAGTCATAGTCAACTCAGCCATGCCACCCTCCTCTGTCTCCTGAA